AGAGAAAAGAATTAAAAAGAAATAATAGTTTTACATTGATTCATTTTAGCTTAAAAAAACTGTTGGTTTTTTTTTTATTATTCAGACTTTACATATCATTTGAATTATGGAATGAGAATTAAGCCAAGATTTGCGTTAGAGAGTAGTATACTTTCAAGCAGATGGTCACAATAAACGTGAAATTGCTAAACTACTTTACATCAGCAAATCAACTGTTGTTAGAATTCTCAAAACTTTTAATAAATGGGGAGATGTTGTTAACCTGTTTAAGATTCTACGAGGTAGACAAAAGTTATTTTCACGTGAAGAATTGAACATTCTCAAAAATCTGGTTAAAAAAAAAGGTTGATTAGTACCTTGATGAGCTTTTGTATGAGATGAAGAATTTAACTGGTAAACGTGCCTCAGTTTCAACTTTATGGCGTTCATTAAAATACCTAAAAATTACTCATAAAAAGGTAGCTTTTTAAACTGGTGCAATATTTATAAAGGGACTTTGCCTTGGAATGACCTTATAATATATAGTAATTACTATGTATCATAAGGTCATTTCTAAGGCTAAGACCTATATTTCTTTTTAACTAATATTATGTTATTTATGTCAATGTTATTTACTGTATGTTAATGTTATTTAAGTTACAGAAAGCAGCAAATGAAAGAAATGAAATTGTTCGTTGTGCATTCATTAATAAGATTAGAACGAATTATAGTCCAGAAAAGTTAATATTTATTGATAAAAGTGCGAAGGATGAGCGAAGCCTTATACAATACTATAGATATGCAATAGCTAATGCAAGAGCATGCAAGAGTTATGTTTTTTTATGAGGTAAGCGATATACTATTTTACCTGCATTAACATTAGATAGGATAGAGGCTTTAGACATAATGGAGAGTAGTTGCACCAAAGAACGTTTTTCAGAATTTGTATTGTCACAAGTGGTAGTATTTAATTTTAAATTATATAATACTGTATTTATTTGAAGTATTTGCCTTAAAAATGACTTTATGGAACATAGTATTACTATGTTTCCTAAGGTTATTTTCAAGGCAAAGACTCGTATAAATAAAATATAATAATAAAATAGGTTAATACTAGTAAATATTTTTTTTAATTTATAGATCCCTATAATGAATCTGTACTCTAGTAAAAATAGTGTTATCATTCTTGATAATGCAAAAATACATCATGATAATGAGCTAGTTGAAATGATAAGAAGATTAGGATGTCGAATTGAATTTCTTTCACCTTATTCTCCTGATTTTAATCCAATCGAGACTGTATTTAGTACTATAAAAAGCTGAATTAGACGTAATAGAGATTTTATGGATACATCTAATGATCCTATTCATATGCTTATGGTAGCATGTTTTCAAATTACAGCTGACATAGCAGCAGGATTCTTTAAAGGATCTATTTATATGTAATTATTTTGTTTTTTTTAAAAAAAATTAAAGCATTAAATTAGATCTTTTTAATTAATATAGTGAAGAATTTATTTTAATATGAGTTAAAAAATGTTTTTTGTAATTATATTTATAATTTATAATTATGCTATTAATTATCTAATAAAATCAAATTTAAATAAATACCAACGTACATTATTATGCCAATAATAATAATGAGCTTGCACAAGATATAAAGAATTTTTAGAGGTAAGACTATTAAATAATATTTTTATTCATTCTATATTTTGGTATATTTTCAAAGTTTTTAGATATTACACTTATTATAAGCTATATAGTAAATTTGTTAGTGAAATTGTAAGATTTTGATATAATTAGTGAGTATATAAAGAATAACTAATATTGTTTACAGTTAGGAGTTAATTTTAAAAGTTTAAATTAATCTTATAAGTGATTTGTTTAATAAATACAGAAAAGATTTACTATAATATTTGATAACAGAAAATTATCTAAGGAGGAATTTATAACATATTATAAAGATCGGTTACCAATACTCAAAGGTAAGATTTATTATAACAAATTTTATAATTATAATAACGATAAAAACGAATTATATAATTTCTTTATATGATAAAAGTGAGAGTTTCTATAATAATTTATTAATATAGAAAATTTTATAATATAACTTTATAATATAATGAAGATAAATACTTAAATTGCATAATTAATATCTGTAAGTTTCTACTAGAAAATAGCATAATTAATGTAATATTATTGATAAATATTTTTGACTTTTATAAAATTAGATTATAAGAGGTGAAGCCAATAAATTAGAAAAACGAATCTTAAATAATTTTCAAGGCTAAACTAACCTTAACTAAACCAAACAGATATATAACTTATGACAATGAATAATATACAAGATAACGAAGATTGAGTTTTTAGTTTTTGAAATTAACACAATTCATTAGATATTACTTTTGACTTGAATGTTTTAATAGCAAAGGTATGTAAAGATAAAATATTGTATTCATACTTTCATAATACATATTAATACAGAATTACTAAATAGATAATTAGGCTAATACATATCTATCTACAAATCAAAATTCAAGTAAGTTGTCTTTAAACAAATTTTTAGTATTCGAAAGTTTGTGAATAAAAGTAAGGTTCATTTTATTTTTTAGAATTACTCTTACAGTGCTAGCTGGTATTCATATTTGAATTAATAAAAATAATATAGACAAAATATAGACATAGTGATTTTTTAATTGGACATATTAATATAGTATTTGGATTATAATCTAAATACTACTGAACAGTATATGTCCAATTAAAAAATTACTAGATTCATATTTTGATCATATTATTAATATTTTTTTTATTAACTTGACATTATTTTTAATACTTTACCAGTTTTGTTTAATACAGCTCTATAGTATCGATCAAATTCTAGTTCATCAATTCTAACTATACTAATAATAGACATTTAATTTTACCTCTAACTATTACTATATTTTTATCAAATGTGATTACGCAGATGAAAAATATAGGTTTCTACTGAATCATCAGCGCTATTTTTTTTTTGCTCACTAGTAGTACAAGTTGTTAAAATTTCTAATCTTACTATATATTCATTATCTAGATGTGACTACTAAATTTATGATTAATAAATATAAGCATTGCCAATTCAATATTCTTATTCTTACAATGTAGTAGCAGGTTAAACATTTTGGCAAACTAATAGAATACTGGCTTTACTAACTAACAGGACTATAAATTGACTACAATCACAAAAGAATCAAAGAAAATATTTGGTATTTTATTATTTGAATAATGGTATGAATAGCATCTTAAAAACTCTTCATATTATTTTATCATTTTGTGTAATAGATACAGATTATAATTAAATTTGCTAAATTATTACTTCCTTATATAGTAGATATGGATTAGGAATCTGAGTTAAATGCTCAAGAAAAATCTGAATTTATATTTTGTGGCAAAATAAATTCAAATAATAAAATGACAATAGATTTCAAAGTGATTAAAGACTAAACTGAAATTTATTTTAATTAATGAATAAAACAATAATAGAATATCTATACTAATAAGTAATACTATAATAATTATATTACTATATTACTATTTATCTATACTATAATAATTGTATTACTATATTACTATTTTTTCCTTTTTTTTTTAACCCTTATAATATAAAACGCTAAATTATATCTTAAATATTTCTATTAATATTTTTTAGTCTACTTGTTTTATATTTTACTATTTTAAAGATTTTTATCAATATTTTTGAGCCTCTCGTCTTATATTTATTAGCCATCCAACTTTAGATACCCCTAACTCTATCAGTTGATTATCCGTTAAATCTTTAATGCTATTTACCATAATATCCTGCTCTTCAAAAGATTTTTCTAAAGAAGTATATATTCCATTACCATTATAAACTTTATCTAATTCAGTAAAAAATTTATTTAATGAAATATTGCATTTAGAAGCAGTTTGGGGAGTTTGATGATATGATGAGATAGGAGTTGTATAAGGATAAGATCCTGGTTGCATGTAAGGATAAGGGCCTAGTGGCATATAAGGGTATGAGCCTGGTGGAATATGATATGAGCCTGGTAGCATATAAGAATATGAGCCTGGTAGCATATTAGGATATGAGCCTAGTAGCGTTGTTGTTTGTTGAATTGTTTGATCATCAATCTTTGGTTTTATAGAATGAACCATTCCAAATGCAAGATAAGTAGGTAGTACATCTATTGTCGTTAAGTGGTTCATCTATAATAGTATTTATACAACATAAATAGTAATAGATAATTAATAAAAATAGTACTCTCTGAATCTTTAAGATACAAACTTAAGTGTATATGAATTATACAATTTCATGAGCCCATAATAATAATCGAGCAGAATTTAATTGAAGGTGCTATTCATCTTCAACATAGCACGATGTGATATGTTGAGAATACTTATATTTATTTTGAAGCTCCATAATAACTTGTGCTTTATTGTATTCAGTTTCATTCAAATCTTCTTCTTTAGGTATATGGTTTATTTTTAATTTTTTGAAACCTTTAGAACTCTTGGAATCTTTTTTTGTTGTACTTTCACTATCACTAACTGTGTTATCAGTATCAGCATTCTAAAAAAAAAAAAAAAAAAAAAATTACTGTATTTCTAATATACTATACAATATAACTATAGTAAAATATGTATAATTAATAATACTTTTAATTTTCTTTTAAGAAACTTTTCTGGATTTTATAAATTAATATAAATATGCATTTTTTTAGCTGAAGTATCAAGTTCCTTATATTCATTTATAAAATTTAAAAAATCATCTCTGTCATTTATACACATAGCTTGCTTTCGACCATTTGTTTTGTAAGATAACTCATAATCGTCATTACTAATAAATTGAATATCTAAATGTTTTTGTATATGACAATTTAAACTTAATTGAAATGAATAGAAATTGTTAACTTCTTCTGTTGTAAATACTAGCCATTTTCCTGGAGGTAAATTAGTTTTTTTAGTATCAATAATAAGCATTACTTTTAATTCAGTTAAGTTAATAATTTCTATTTCATCATCTTGGTCACTAATACTTATATTACTTTGATCATCTAAATATAAACTTTTACCCCGATCATGTTTAGAATTACATGCTGAACAAAGTGTTAGGTCGAAGTTTTTATTAAAGTCGCTTTCATATCCAAAAAATTTATCACATTCTTTTAGCCAATTAACTTGAGCTGCACAGGTTTTATAAGTTTTATAACATCAGTTATGAATTTGTCGACCTCGAATAGTTCGATTTGGAAAAGTATCAGTACGAGATGGTTTTTTAGTTAAATCACAGGCGCAAAAATTATCTTTTAAATCTTTAAAGCAAAAAAGGCATTTTTGGCAACTATAACAAGTTTTGATATCATACTCGTGAAGTTTTGAGAAAGACATAATTAAAATTTTACAAGTTCATTATACTTACTAATATTTATTACAAGCGTTATCATTATTATATATATTGAATATTGTCTATAGAACTGCTAAATCATAACAATTATAACGATAATTGTTATATATACAGGGTATATGCATATATGCAGACTCAGGACTCACAGGATTCACAAAAAAAAATTTTTGTATTATAAAATTTATCGAATCAACCAAATCGAAAAGAGCGATAATTAACTTGGTGTAATACTATTTTTTACAGAGTTTGTTACATTCTTAAGACTCACTTTTTAGAAACAGACAGAGTTTTCTGTAAGTTTGGTATACAGATCTAGATATTATTCAAATTTATTAACAATAAAATTTGAACTCCAGACCTATTATATAGTAGTCTACAATCAACCACTATACTAGGTCACCAGACCTTGAAACTCTTAGATTATTTAATAATAAGTATTTATAAATAAATATTTATATTTATTTATTTTTTTTTTTTATACTTAGATGATCTTGTTTATTATTTTATTAAGAGAAAGCTAATATAAGCTACAAAGTAAAATTAATATAAACTATATTAAAATACCCTCCTAAAAACTAAATATTTATATTTATAATTTGAATAAAACTAATTAATATTAATAAATCACAAAATAGAATTCAAGTATTATCAATTATTAAAAATAAAGAAAGTTAAATTATTATTTTATATTACTTTATTAAGAAAAATAAGAGCTTTTTCTTTTACTAGTTTCTTTTTTATTTAATATTAATAAAACAACTTATATCTTTATATATTTTATATCTTAAAAAATCTAACTCATTAAAAGCTTTATACTAATATATCAGCTTTATATTATTTTAATATTAATACTTATTAAGATTATATATATATTTTAGAATTACTTAATTAGCAAACATTAACTTGATAAGCCTATAATATCAATTTTTGTATAATATAAGAATTTATAATTTAATCAGATTATATAATAATTTGAGCAAAACTACATTGTTGTAGATATTTGTATTTTAATAACTTAGTAAATATTTAAAACAAAATTATTAATAATTTGTAAATATTAATAGAAATTGAACTTTATATATATTAAGCTAAATTTACAAAACCTTATATAAGCCTTTTTTGTATTTTAGCAAAACTTTTTAGTATTTCAGCAAATTCTAAAAGTTTGGCTATATATTAAGTACAGATTTTTAAAAATTCTAAAGTTTGCTAAAATATTAAAAAATCTTGTTAAAATATGAAAAAAACTTGTATAAAGTTTTGCAAATCTAGTTTAACATATATAAAATCTAATTTCTATTATATTTACAAATTATTTATAATTTAGTTTTAAATATTTATTAAGTAGCTAAAATGGTCAAAGCATTTTAGCTACATATATACTTTAGCAGACTCTTTTAAATAAAAAAGATATTAGCAGTTAGAAAAAAAAAATAGAAAGAGTTAAATCTTTAATGATCAGTAATTATCATTTTATCAATTTAACAAAAAATTCTATGAAAAAAAAATAGAAAATTCAAAAAATCTAATAAACATATATGAAAATTTATATTAGATCACCAGTATCTATATCAAAAAATAATTCTTTTACTATTATTTATTATAATATCTATAAATTAATATAGTTCTAAGTTTTGTTTTCATTTATTATGCAGTACTAGTCACATTAAATATTAGAATATAATATATACTTATATATATAAATATAGGTGCAATAGTTAAGCTACTAGTATAGGATATGAAATAGCATGTAAAAAATAAGCAACACATAACAATATATAATAAACTAAATCATACAAACTAATTAAATACTAAGAATTATACAAATATATTAACTTGTCTATAAACTATAAATATGTTGTATATTATACAAATTAATTTTATATAGAGATGTTAAAAAGTCTATTCAGTCAAGTTCTAGTTTAATTTTTAAAAAGTCTAGTTTTAAATTAGTTAGAAACTAGTTCATTACTTCTGTTTGAAACTGGTCTAACTAGTATCTAACTTTAGCAGTTTAATATATAATATATTAGTATATAATTTAAAACTCAAATGTTTTATAATAAAAAAAAAAGAATATAATTTTTAAATCTTTTGAAACTCAAATTTTTTATTTAAAAGATATAATAAAAAAAAAGAATACATATAGCATATATATTTAGATTTTAGAATTTTCAATGTTACTTTTTACTAATTTTGAATCATATCAAGTTTTTAAACAGAGACTTGCTTGTATCTTTTTGTTCTCTAACTAGTTCTTTATAGTGCTTAGAATATGTTTTATTATAAAAAAAGTCTGTTCACTTAGAATACTTGTTGTTTGCATAACAAGATAGTTACAAGCTATTTTACTAAGAGAATTAATAGTAAGCATAAAGACTTTAATTTTTAATATAAAGAATATCTACAACTTTTTTAAGAGTATATAAGTATTCATCTAATATACTAAAACTTATTGATATATCATTATAAATTTATTTTAACTAAGTTTAAAAGTTGTAGTGAGCTGACATTAGCTAATTAGTTTCTAAAATTAGCTCAATATGCTCAATAGAGTCTTTAACAAATGAGATATAATATTAGTATATTTTATAAAATATTTAACATATTGTATATTATTTAGAACAAAGCTAAAGGTTGAAAGTTTAGATGATAGTTTGAGTAACACCACTTCTGAAAAAACAAACTGTAATTTATTCTAATATTTATCAAATTTTTTGAGAATTTTTTTTGAAATACGTAATTTAACTGAATTTGTTTCATTTTTAGTATTATTAAGCTTATTAATAATTACAAAAAGGGCTGTATGTACAACTCTAATAGTTGAATAGCTTGATGAGGAAAGTAATATAGTAGCTTTATAAAAGGGTTCTAGTAACTCTATTACTGCTTTAATATTATCTTAATTTTGATTAGTCAACTTTAGATATTTAAGTTGTAGTATTAAAACTACTAATATTCTGCTAATTCTTGAATTCTACATAGTTTAATTAGTATTAAATATAATAAATTCTATCTCATTTTGCAGTCTAGTTCAGGTACCAAAAAATAGTTTATTTTTCATTACACAAATTTTTTTTAATTCTTCTAAACATAGCTATAAGTATTAGATATGATTTGTAAATTCATATACTTTCTTTGTTAATTTATCAATTTCTAAAAGACTATTTATAACAGCAAAATTAAGTATATAAGCAATATATTATAATCAGCAAAAAGTTATATTTTGATAATAAAATTCTAACATACTAACAAAGTATTAGCTACAAATATCTATTATAAGTATTGTCGGTAGTTACTGATAAAAATTTTTTTCTAAAGCCAAAATTTTCTATTAATTTAAATATTATATCTGCTAGGTAGATACCTGTATATTATTCATAAAGTGAGATGAAATCAAGAAGTATACTGTATACTGCAACTACTACTTATCATCAATTTAATGCAAGGTAACTACAAGATATACTTAGTTTGTGTATACAGACTATATATTAGTTATTATTAAAACTTTATAATCAAAATTTCTAAAAAATTTATATATCTATTCTTCTTTTAGTTTATAAAACTATCAAATGTAAGTTAAAATTATTTGTCTTGTAGGAAGCTTGTAATAAGAATTAAGTTCAAACATATCCCTTAATTTGTAACACAGGCAAATTTGTCTGTGTCTACTTTTAATTTTTGTAATTTTTAAAATAAAACTTTAAATATTAATTTTAAA